TAATAAAAACATTTGGATTCATTGTTTTAGATATCGTTTACAGGAGCTTTAACATTTTAATCTTGCGTACATTTTGAGATGCTTGCATATTTAACAGTTAGTGGCATTGCAATCACATTTACTTCTTTTTTATTGTATTTTCTTATATTTTTTCTAATAATTTCCCAGCTTAGTTTTCGTAGCAACCAACCTCGTTTTAGTTTTCTGTCGCAAGAGAAAATTTTCCTTGCGACAGCAAATCCGATCAATACTTCCATAGCACCTGGTTCTTTCTGCGTACCCTTAGATTTATGCTCTTTATTTTCAGTTATTTTTCTCTCCTGTCATCTTTTAACGTTAAACCCATAATTTGTCTATCAGAGTTTTAAAGCTCATCAGACTTACTTTCAAAGTTTCAAACTTGGCTTTCAACACCAAGAATAGCGTTTAGCTTCTACTCTATTGATATCCGCAATGATAATATATGCGTCAGGGTGAACGCAATTTATAGCCTTTTACCCAATATATTTTCCTTTCCTGCTTTCGCAAATATCCTGCTACGGATTCCATATATTAGGAAGGTTCCGACAATACTATGCAGAACTAAGCATACTTAAACGTTGTCAAAAAGAAAATTTACTAAAAGTAAAGTTTTTATTAAGGTAAACATTACGCATTAAGTTTAACTTAAACTTTTATTTTTTCCAACCAGCGTTAAACATTGTTGCTGACTTAAAGTAAATTAGAGCGCCATATTTGTGTGCTTGTCGGTAAGTGCTAACAATTACTGTTGGAAGATTTATTAATGTTTTATTTCTATCGTAACAGCTGTGTTTAATATTACTAAGTTTCTATTTTATTTTCTTATACGAAGTAAAAGAATTATTGTAATCGCAAAAAATTTCGGGTATCATATTTCAACGGAAATTTCCATTTTGGCAGTTCCCGAATCCATTTGGATGATTTTTATTTCGTGACTTTTGTACTTACCGACAGAATGAAGGACTTAATTTTCCAAAACGGATTATAAAATGAATTTAAAATGAATTCAAAAGGTGTTATTTTCGTGATGTTTGTACTTTAGGTACGTATTGTATGTTACGTACTACGTACGTATGTATGTATCTCATATAATTCAAAACCGATTGGCATAGAACGTTGAAATTTTATATGTGGAATTATTATTGCAGTTAGTTGCTTACACCTCCTTTTTTTATTCTAATTGGCAGTACCAACCCTGTATACACAAAAGAGCCATTACATTATGACCACCCTGTTAATAACATGTATAACCACCTTTAGCCCTCAAACCTGCCAGCACTCGGCGTGACATTGACCCCACAAGGTGCTGATAGGTAGTCTGAGGTATCTGGTACCAAGCGCTCACCAACTGTTCCTGTAATACCCGCACATTGTGAGGGGTTAGCGCGTCAGCTCGATTTGTTTTTCCAGGTGGGACTACAATTGCTTTATTGGATTAATGTCAGGTGAATTTGGAGGCCAAGACATGACTTGAAAGTCACTGGAATGTTCCTTAAACCACTCCCTGACGATTAGACGCTCATGACATGGAGCATTATCCTGTTGGTAAACGGCATCCCCCGCCGAAAATACTGTTGTCATGAATGGGTGAACCTGGTCTGCAACGATGTTCACGTAGAGAGCACAGACGTCAAGGATTGTTCTATGGAGATTATGGGTCCTAATGTACTCCATGAAAACATTGCCCACACCATACACCGGCTTGTCTCCGTCCAATTGTGTATTCGGGAGCCAGGGTGTCGTTTGGAAATCGGCATATTAGCACACGCCCGTCGATGTAATGGACCAGAAAACGTGATCAACAGACCATTCAACTTTCTTCCATTCTTCTAAAGTTCAATTCCGATATTTCTTGGCTCATTGCAGACGCAGCTGGCGATAATGTGCCGTCAGTGCAGGGACATGCTTCGGCCTCCGGCTGCTTATGCCCATTAAGAGCAATGTACGCCGCACAGTGTGTTGAGAAACACTGTCTAGGTCGCAACTGTTGTAGTTGTTCGTGATTTCGGTTCTTCTAGCTCTTCGGTCACGGCGAACAATGCGTAGCAATCTCCGCTCTCCTTTGGAATCAATGCGCCGTCGATGACACACTGCTAGCCGGCGACTTGTCGTTTTACCAACCATATACCACTTTCGATATGTGCTAAAAACAACTCTACGTGAACAGCCCACTAAACGCACTGTGTCTGATATTGGTGTTGCCTGTCGCCGAGCCATAACGATTTGACCTTTATCGAAGTCTGATAAATCAGTTGCTTTCCCATTATGTCGCTAATCGCGCTGTGTTTGGAAAGAATAGAATAGAATAGAACTTTAATAATCCGCGATTACCACGTCCAGATCAATGGCACATATCGCCATAAAGGCATATAACATGAATGTAGTCATGACAAATATGATTTGGAAGGGAGTAGCAGTGAGTGGACGCAAAAGGGGACAAGAGGGTTATAAAATGATCCGACATCGAAATTAAAGAAGGGCTGGAGTGTATGAAAACGCAAATCAATAAGTGTAGTAAAATTAACTGGCAGTGGTTTAAATTAAGAAACTCTCATACTGTAAAAGAATAAATGCAAAACAAGTACAATGAAAGAGAAAACAAATTCAAAAACAATATGGAAGGAAAATGCAAAAGATGACTAGGTGATAGAAAGCTCAGTCTTTCCGTGGTGTGCGGCAAATGACCTTAGGTCATAGACCTCTTCAAGTATTTTACAGTTGGAGAAGTTAATTAAATATTGGCATCCAAGTGCTTTATCGAAGAATTTTGTGCTTGTCTTGTTAAGATAAGTTTCAATAGTGTCATGTCTGAGATCTTCATGAAGTGTGACATTTCTGACATAGTAATGTGCATTGGTGATAATGCGAAGGAAATTATTTTGAATTTTTTCTAATTTCAGGAGATCATTTTTTGTAGCAGAAGGTCCATGCAGGTGAAGCATAAACCAAACTGGTCTGATAATGGAGGTGTAAACAATACTTTTTTCCAAATCCATACTTGAATGCTTTCCAACAATGGGAATTAAACTATTGATAAACTTATTTGCTTTGTTTTTGATCTTGTTAATATGATCATTCTATTTTAATTTAGAAAAGCTATACCCAAATACTTAGGAGTCTTGACTAAAGGAACAGTTTCTTTCAATAGGGTAAGCTGACGATTAGGATTAGTCCGGGACTTTTTCCTTCTAGTGATAAGTAATTGAGATTTCTCCGCATTAATAGCAGTTCTCCATAAGGTCCACCAACTCTCGAAATGAGGTACTTGATCTTGTAATTTTTTAATCGCATGGTTAACATTTGCAGATCTAGCCGCGAGAGCCGTATTATCAGCATAACACCCAAGGAAGTAGTGATGTTCAAGATTTTCCTTGAGGAAATCAGCGACGTGCAACAAATAAAGTATAGGGACAAGGATACATTTTTGGGGATGGTCGAAGGTTTGGAAAGACAATGCATAGCGGCTTTATATACTCCAAAAGCGCACGTAGTGGCAGTTCACGCAGCCGCGCACGCGCAGTGGTTTTGTTCGTAGGCGAGCTCATTGTTATAGAGAAAGGGTGGTCATAATGCAATGGCCCTTCAGTGTATATATGCATCCGGGAAAGGTGTATATGTATAAATTTATATGTAATGAAAATACACCATATTTCAATACAAGATGATAACTAACTTTCAGAATGACGAATTTGCATATACTATTTTACAGAAATCGAACTGAGGAATAAATGTTCCATTGAGGTTAGTAGCAAGTAATCCAACGCTGTACGGCTAAAAATGTAATGAAAGCACAATCTTGAAAGCCATTGATGTAAGAACACTGAAATGGAGATGCGCAGAAATACTGATGGCGTAGATTCTTAATATTTAGAGCGCCCACCCGTTTTGAAGAAGAAAACAATCGACGCGGATTAAATTCCACATTTATTTAAATTCACATTTCTGGCCACAATTCACTTGGCACGATACTCGTGCCTGTTAAAGAACATTTACATTTTTGATAACTGTTGCGATAGCAAGCAAGCACAGCGAAATTACGTATAAGCAGTGCAGAGAGAGAAGCTGAAGCCAAAAGTGACGCATCAGCTCAGAGGAAGAAGGGGAGGGAATCAAAAGTTTTGGTTTACATTTATTATGATAAGGCAAGATATATATGCATTAAGCGTTACGTAAAAGATCGCATGATTAATTTGAATGACGCAATTTCTAAGACAGAGAGAGGAAGTCCCCAAGTTAAATAAAAAATAAAAGATGTTATAGGCAATTAAAATTAGAAGTTTGCTTTTATATTTTTATTTTACATATATATGCACCCTTCCTTCTCAATTAGTTTTATTTAGTTAGCCCTAAGTGTTGTTTTTCAGTAACGAAAATATTCATATTTTAATAATGTCAGATTTAAAAACAAATAATTTTCGGTAAATAACGGGCCCACCAGCGGCCGAGCGGTAAAGTCGCTGAACACTGGTAGTTCAGTTCGAGGTTCGAATCCCGCGAACGGGCTGGCTGCATGGGCGTTTTCGTGGTTTTCCCCATGTGTAACGTGTATACGAGCCAGTTTCCCTTAGAAAGTTCTCCACGAAGGCATCCCTCCCCTTAGGCAGATAGCCCTCGAGGCTTTGCCATAATTACACACACACGGTAAATAACGGAACCTAATTACATACATAGTAATAGTTTAAATATATATTTAGTCCAACAATAAATATTTAATGCAGTTTATGGTCGTAAATATCTAACAAAATTTAATATCAGTTTATTGTTTCAGAAAAATGCTTGTAATTTAATAGGCCGTACAAGAAACTCATGTGGCGTCTTTATCAGATTTTGTTCGTGCGTGTATATCCCTCTGACAAAGCTTAACATTAATTCCCCAAACTCAATTCTGGTTTAAATATTCTTTTGATTTTGCTTATATAGTATGCATCATTTGTACTAGTTCAGTATGCCTTTATGCAATTATTTTTTTCCTACTCTAGGTACACCAATTATTTTGAGCAATATCAAGAATATGATTCGTTTCTTACACCCCCTGAGCATTCAAACCCTTGGATATCAGATAGCACAGAAGCTTGGGAAATGGAAAAACAAACGTAAGTGTATCATTTAAAAATGTCTCAATCCATTTTTAATTTCCAAAATTTATTACAAATAAGAATGTGTAATCCGCTAAAATCGAACTGTTTTACAATTTAAATCTATTTAAAGATTGATACAAATGTGTTGTTTTACTCATACCTAAAATAAAACTTAAAAGTGCCTTCTCTCGGAAAGCGTTCTATGACAAAAGTTTCAATTCAATTCAAATATTCTCTTCTTTTCTCGTAGTATTTTTTCTACTACTTTCTGCTACTTATTATCGCAACGTCTTCAACGTAGACCTACTTTTAGTTGTAAGAGTTTTCTCATATAGCACATAAGCATGTTTAACCGGTTGATTTGCTTAATTAAAATACTAGCACAATCAAGTGACATCGTCGTAGTAGAATAACCTGTCATTCTTAATCAACGAGAAATTTATCAGAGACTGTTGCTGGCGTTAGTGTTTTTGCTTCTCTGAAACACGTATTATTTCTGTTCGTTGGTCAGAACATTCAGCTAAGACCTTCTAAATAATCAGAATGGATGGAAGTTGAAATCCAAATTGAGTATACCTGGCTCTAACCTCAGAATTGAACTAAATTCTGTCTTTCTCCGACTTTGTACGCTCGCGAAGCGATGACGATAGATCCACTGAGGCTTATTAGCCAAAGGCCCATTGACAAAATTAATTAACACTCAAGCACATACCTACCTATCTCTCAAGGCTATCACTGATCGAGTGAAAATGATCTGAATGTCGAAGGCTGTTTTTTGAGAAGTCAAACTTTAGGAATTTAAGGGAACATGTTTTGTATTGTACTGGTATTGTCAAAGCAAGTTATACTTAATGATTAATTGCAAGTTTTATATTTAATTTAAAATTTAAAAGGTTGAAGAATATTAAAATTTTTTAAATACTTTAAATTTTGTACAAGTTTTTATTTTATAATTCCAGTTGAAATAATTCTTTGACAATTTTACATTTTATCCAGATATAATTAGTGGTTTTGTTGGCAATTCTTTCGGCTGCTTAGACCAAGCAATTACCAACTATTATTTATTTTTTTTAATTTTATGTGAATTTTGTTTTATTTTATTTTATTTTATTTATATATTGATTTACATTTTTTCAGTTTTGTTTCCATGTTTTTTACTCATAGTTTTGAATTTGTTAGAGATTTCATCATGTTAGGTTTATATTAATTTTATTTACTTTATTTTATCTCTTTTTTAGAATTTTTGAAAACTGTATATTGGGGGATAAAATTTAGAAATAAGAAGTTTAAATCCTTTATGTGGTAAATATGATTAACCTTTTATGATTTTCAGCGATCGTATAACGTTTTTTTAATTTCAGCACTCAGGTTCTGGATAGCTCAGATATTCTCACCTTCTCTACATCATGTGCTAATTTATTTCTGAATCCTAATAATACAGTGAAGGGAATCTCAGTCTCTTACTTTAATATTTATTATACAGTTACAATCTTCAATGTTAACTATGGCTCAGTCAGGCAACTAATCCCGCACCTTAGCTTTAAAAAGATATGACACCGAGCACAGAAGTAGGTTTGTAGAGACATTAGATATTTTTTCGTAAGCAGAAGTGATGAAAAATCAGCAATGCCCTCGCCAGGACTCGAACCATGGACCTCTTGAATACGTGTCGAGCGTGCTGACCACTACACCATGAAGTCATGCTAAAAAGGCGGTAGAATACCTTATCGGTTAAGTTAGGCAACGCATAAAAGGGATCTCTGTTTAAGGGGAAGAAATGACTTAATAAAGCACTACATAATGCCAACTGGCTGGTATTCACGTTAAACATGGGAAAACCACGAAATCAAATTGTGCAGCCAACCCGTTCGCCTGGGCTCGAGCCTTGTTGAAATACCAGTATTCAACGATAGTTCAACAGTATTCTGGCCATTAGAGATAAGAGCTGCGAATATAAAAGAAGGTACTAGAACTTATGGTACTAGAAAGATTCTGACCTCACTTCTACCTGAACTTTTATTGATAGAACAGCCCCCCTGCCAATGTAGTGGTTAGTTATTCTAACTGCAGTACCGATGTGCCCAGATTCGAATCCCAGAGTTGGCAAGGATATTTGTAAGCGTATAGTGTCAGCGGGGTAAGAGGGCACTCAAAATACAATGCAAGCAAAATTGTATTTTGAGTGGAGAATTTGATGGCTGGAGACAAGGGGCACCTCCCGAATTGTCCTCCTTCAAAATCGAGGCTGAAGCCCAATAACTGTTAACAAAGTCTGGGAATAGCTAATATACCGTATTTATGCGAATCTAATGCGCATCGTTTTTGGCCAAATGTAGTATTCAAAATTGAGTTGCGCATTAGATTCGAGTGCAAAGTTCGCCGACGACGTCAGCAGTTCGCCGATGAAGTCAACCAAATTTAAATCGTAACAAGGGATTACTGTATTTCTCGACTACATTTACCGTTACATTTATCGTTGACACATTATTGCATAGAGGATACAAACTGCAAAGTACGTAGTCACGAAATGAAGGGCAAACAGAGAAGAATGTCATATGACGCTACTTTCAAACGGAAAGTAATTCTTTATGCTGAAAAAAATGGCAATAGAAAGGCAGGGAGAGAATTCAACGTAGCTGAGAGCAATGTCCGCTTGTGGCGGCAACAGAAATTGGCACTGTTTGCAACTAAAGCTAGTAAAAAGAAATTCACTGGCCCTCGCAAAGGAAGACACCCTAAAATTGAAGAAAATGTTTTGGAATTTGTACGTGAAAGGAGGAAGAATGAACAACCTGTAACTAGTGACACCATACGAAATAAAGCAAAAGAGGAGGCTGATGTTCTTGGAATACCGAAACAAGAGTTTAAGGCTAGCCGTGGATGGGTGGATCGGTTTATGAAGCGGATGGGCTTATCTCTAAGACGCCGTACAACAATATGCCAAAAGCTTCCTGCAGATTTTGAGGGAAAACTACTAACATTTCAGCGGTATGTCATCACACTTCGGAAGGAAAAGAATTTTTCAATGGGGCAAATTGGCAACGCTGACGAGACGCCAATTTGGTTTGATATGCCTTGTAAGTACACCATTATGGAGAAGGGGACTAAGGAAGTTATCATCAAAACTTCGGGATGTGAAAAACAACGCGTAACAGTGATGCTGGCAATAACAGCGGACGGGTGCAAACTTCCCCCTTTCTTAAATCTTCAAACGGAACACATGCCCTAAAACCACTAAGAATAAAAAGCTGTTCCCAGATGATGTCCTGATTCAAAACCAAGAGAAGGGGTGGATGACGGAATCATTAATGCTCGATTGGTTCCGAAATGTATGGAAACGCCGTCCCGGTGGGCTCTCCAAACCACCATCAATGCTTTGTCTTGACGCATTTCGTGGTCATCTCACCGACGACGTAAAAACGAAGATGCACAGCCTAGGCAGTGATCTTGTTATCATTCCTGGAGGGATGACGTCTGTGTTACAACCTCTGGACGTTAGTATAAATAAACCTTTTAAGGGGTACGTTCAGGCGGAGTACGAAAAATGAAAAATGGTTTTGTGAGCCAAACCGTGAATTGACCCCTACAGGAAAAATTAAGCGTGCTGCACCGCACATTATTGCACACTGGGTTTCTGCTGCCTGGAAAAGCATCGAAGCACCAATGACTGTGAAATCTTTCAAAAAATGCTGCATTTCAAATTCATTGAATAGCAGTGAAGATGACGTGCTCTGGAACGCCGAGGATGACGATGATGATGATGAGAAAAGAAGAAATGAATCTGCTTCTGACCAAGAGACTGCGATGGTTCCAGTGATGAAAGCATTAGTGAATAAAAACGTTTACTATTAATCACTGATTGTAGAAACTGTTAGCTAGATATAAATGTTACGATTTATTTCATGTTCATATTTTACGATAGGTACCGTATATACGGTAGTGGTAATTAACAATGATTGTTTCACATAACAATAGCCCACTAATAGATTAATTCTATGTTCTGTTACTTTATGTATAAATCCATTGTTGTGTAAAAAATGGTATCTAAATTTTAAAAAAATTATCATACCATTGATTGATAGTTCATATACAAATCCATTGTTGTATAAAATAAGATTCAATAAATTCCTCATACCATTGATGCGCATTACATTCGCCGACAAACAATTTTCTTATTATTTAAAGTTTTAAAATGGGGATGCGCATTAGATTCGATGACGCATTAGATTCGCATAAATACGGTATACCTACGGAAAAGCACAAGTGACGGTCTCGATTCAGCCTGTACCTATACTGGAAGAATAGTAAAACGCTGCTTGATGGATTAACAGAAACAGAAAAAAACAAGTCAAATTAGAATATAAGTACTAAAATATGTGGTTAAAATATGAGAAATTTATATATAGTAAACGGAGTTTTGCTTAACTGGAGTAGCGAAGAAAAGTATTTTTTAATTAATGAATCCGATGACCTCGCAGTTTTTAAGCAACTTTTAAAGTGATTTCATTCTTTGTAGACAATATATATTTTAAAAGAAAAACGGTTTATCAGGGTATTACCGGATGCTAAACTAGGCATTGTGGAATTTTTGGATAAAAAATTAATTTATAGTATCCACATTCATTGATGTAATATTTTATTGAAAATATGAGTTTAGCGTAAAAGAATGAAGTACGAAAACTGATATATAACAAGTTCGAAACATTTTTTTAAAATGTTTTTCACTGCATTCAAAGTTAAATTATGTCATTTTTAAGATGCTTATCAAAGAATTATCTTTAATGTTAAAGATATTACAGAACAGGATTTCTGAAACTGGAACCTTTCAGTTCTATATGACATTACAAATTTTAAATACTTACTTTTTTAAATAAATGCTTTTTTCTAAATAATATGCAATTTTTATATAGCATGTATGAAATCTATTATACTGTTGAGGTTTCATCATATGTCTTCTCGTTTTGATCTATTAAGTAGTTTAAGAATGATGGTTGTAATATTAGCTGTCCCAAGAC